GTCTAAGTCTTTGTCTAAGCTTGAATTTTTCCAGGAATATGCTCAAAATCATTTTGATTGTAAAATCAAATATTTGAGATCTGATAATGCCCTTGAGTTTCATTGCTAAGCTGGGAATCATTCACCAAACTTCATGTGTTGACAGACCTCAACAAAATGCTAAAGTTTAGAGAAAACACAGGCATATTCTTGAAATTGCAAGAGCTATGAGATTCCAAGCTGGTCTTTCATTGGATTACTAAGGTGATTGTGTCATGACAGCTGTACATCTCATTAATAAACTTCCAACTTTAGTCTTGAACAACAAATCTCCTTATGAAGTCCTGTTCAAAAAATGTCCTAATTACTCCTATCTTAGAGTGTTTGGATGCCTTGCATTTGCAGCAAGTCCAAATGTCACGGCAGACAAATTCAAGCCTAGAGGAATGGCATGTATTTTCTTGTGTTACCCCGGCATAAAAAAGGATACAGAGTGGCGGACTTAGAAACAAAGAGAGTGTTTGTCTCTAGAGATGTGACATTTCAAGAGGAAATATTTCCTTTCCACAAAAATTCTCTTGACACATACATGAAGCTTGTTCCTGGTATTCTAAGTGAGAAAGAAAAATTCAAGAATCTCTTCTTTGATGAAGAAACTAAACTGGAAGAAGACAATGATACAGGTTTGATATCTAATCAAGAACAGATGACATATCGACAGTCGACAATTGAAGCTGAAGCACCTAATCTTTGCTCTCAAGAAGCTCCACCTGAAAGAAAAGTGAGACAAAGCACAAGGCCATCTACACAACCCATCTAGATGAATGATTACATTCAACCAAAGAAAAGAACAACTCGGCAAATCTCAAACCTAGCTGTAACAGATGTGAAGCCTGAATTTCATTGCTTCATGAAAGCCCTTGAAAGTAATCCAGATCCAATTTTGTACAAAGATGTTGTCACTTAACAACATTAGGTAGATGCTATGAATCAAGAAATTGATCAGTGTGAAAGAAATGGGACATGGATAGTGACACCGCTCCCTCAAGGAAAGAGAGTAATTGGTTGTAAGTGGATCTACAAAACCAAGTACAAATCAAATGGTGAAATTGAAAGATATAAGGCAAGATTGGTTGTTCTTTAGTGTTAACAACAATATAGGCTAGATTATGGAGAAACTTTTGCTCCAATAGCAAAAATGACTACTATAAGAGCATTACTTGTTGTTGCTGTAATGAATGAGTGGATGACAACTCAAATGGATGTGACCAATGCATTTCTGCATGGTGATCTTGAAGAAGATGTTTACATGTCCTTTCCTGCTGGATATTCTGGCATTGGGAGCGAAATTCATGTTGATCCTCTTGGAAACAATCCAATAAGTCAACCGAGTAATTAATATTTAGACGTCGGGAATTCGAGCTTAGAGCATCGAAACCGAACGTCGGAAGTCGAGTCGAAAAATAGTAAAAGACGAGACATGAAAATAATAATAAATCAACAAAGACCAAAATACCCCTAGCATCGGAATGCCCCGAGAAAACCGAGTGCTAGGGGCATGGTGGCTAGCATCGCAATACTAGGCATAGCCTAGTGCGTGCTAGCGCTGCTATGTGGCTGCCTTGTGCGCGCATTGGCTAGCAGTCATGCCGCAACAAGCCGCAGCAGCTAGCACGCAATGCGCGCCAGCCACAACAGCTAGCAGCAGCATGGCTACGCCATTGCGCGCATGCTAGCGCTGCTGGGCAGCCGCACCTACGCAGCCCACCTTTGGTGCCTTGGTGCCCAAGTGTGGGTGCCATGTGGCGCGATTTTAGAGGAGGTTGAAAGGGTGTGTTGGCCGGTTTTTGGAGAGGGAGTGGGGAGCAAGTTTGGTCCCCCCCCCTCCAAATGGTCCTCACCTAACCTCTCACATGAGCTTGCCAGTTGTTGATTTATTACTAGTTTGATTATTAATTTTATTTTAGCTTTAAAATAAAATGGAAAAATCAAATTCTCCCACATTGATGGGGGTGCTTTTCACTCTCTTATTTTCCCTATAAATACCCAAGTTGGGGTATTGGGAAAATCACTTGAGTGAGAGTTGAAAAAGGCATCACCATTGTGAAAACCTTTGAACTCGTTAATCACTTGGGTTTTTGGTCGGGCCTTGCTAACTCCAAGGCATTGGACCATTTTCGGTGGTCGAGTTGCGGGTGGACTTTCGTTAGAGGCTCTCGCGTCAGCGGGGCTAAGCTTTCAAGTAAGAGCTCGTTCCGTTTGGGCGAAGCACGCTCCAAAGGTAATTATCTTATCTTAATCTTGTGATTAATTTATTTATGCTTTATGGTTTTATTAATTGCGAGTGGTTCTTTGGGTCGGGGTTGTTTCCGCGGTAAGTTGGACTTACCAAACCCCAACAAATTATGCATTCTATGATCAAGCATTTGAATTTCAAAATTTTAACTAGTATATACAAGTATACAACTAATAATTCCTTGTATAAATCCCATTTGAGGCGGACTTTATAGACGTTCAGATGTACTCGGCTAGAGGCATGAGCAGCTTTTTCTTTCAGGCCGCGTTTGATTTGATGTTAAATGTTTTCATGGAAAATGATACATAGTTCTCCCTAGTCTTTAAATATAGAAAGTCCAGTACGTAATCTAATTAGTATGCAAATTAATAGGATGATATTTTGCTTAAAGTATTCACACTAAACATCATTACACTATTACTTATCTAGTTTGATAAACCTAAAATAATGAGATGACCCAGTAGTATTCGAAGTGCAGTAACTATGTATTTTGGTTTTTGTATATAACAGGGTGGCCTACGCGCGCGAAGGCCAGTTCTTGCAAAGAAGTTGTATTGACGTGTATTTACACCTTTGGTTTCAGTGATAACCCTGGTAGTTTTAATACTTATTATTTGGTTTATATGCCTATGTGGTGGCTTAGAATTATAAGAAAGCCAATAAAATCTTTTATGAAAATTATTTGTTAAAACCAGCCGGGAGTGTTATTTCAAAATTATTATTAAGTAATATTTAATGATTTGCATCCCTTCATATCTTAAGCTATTGTTAGTTTAGAACTCTTAATTGATTAGCATAATTCAATAATACCTAGCGTATTTTTCTTAAAATAATTTTTTTGTGAGCTTTGGTCATACAGAGTAATAATGTGAAATGTTTGTTGTAGCTAAAAACTTAATAATGTAAGTTCTTTAATGTTCTACGACCATCTAATATCTATATCTATATCTAATACTAAAGCAATAATCACTTAGTTATATATTTCCACTAAATTCTCTCCATAGTACTAATTAATACCATTTTTTCTATCATTGATTATCCTTGATTTTAGGATTTTAAAGTTCTTTATACCTCTTGATAATAATATCTGCTCAAATATCACTATTTCATATAAATCTCATTCAAATTCCATGCATAACGTTGTTTATGTGCCATCAAACAATGTACACATTTTTTTTTACAAGAACAATGTACAATTCAAAAGCTAATAAACCTTAACAATATATAGTTGCAATTAAAGGACAATAAAATTGTAAATAAGAAGAGCAACTACGATGGAGTAAAAATAAACATTCTCCTCAAACATACATTTTTTTTCTTTTTAAATAATAATAATAACATATGAAGTATATTTTAAGGAAAAAAAAAAAAGGCTTACAAGTTTTTTGTTAAAAAAAAATTGAATTAATTGATGATAAGTTTAATGAATAAAATAAATTAATGAGAGTAAACATATTAATGAGGGTAAAAAAGTAAATTTACATTTTTGTACATATTTTTGAAGGTATAGTTGGTAGCAAAGTATTCCCAAGAGTTATCTTCTATAATTTATAAGGTAGTGATTAACAATCTCTTCGGACAAACAAATTTTTTTTATTATTATTTTTTAAACAATAGTAATAATAATATATAGAGTATAATTTATTTATTTTTTTATTATTAAAAGGGTTTTTTTAGAAGAAAAAAAAAAGTTTGAATTAATTGATGAAATGTTTAATGAAAAAATAAATAAAAACATTAAATATATTAATGATATTAAACATTATTAATGATGGTAAAAAAAAATACACATTTTTGTACATATTTTTTAGGGTATAGTTGATAGCACATTATTCCTAAGAGTTATCTTTAATTTTTATAAGGTAGGGATTTATTAGAATTTGAGGTCAAAATTTTAAAGTCTCACCATGAAAATAGAAACAAAAACTTTGGGTCAATTGACCATATTGGTAAATAAAAAAGACCCCTAACGATAATTTGGTAAAAACAAACAATTTGGTAAAAAAAAACTAACTATATGCGACAATTTGGTAAAAATAATACATTTCGGCGACATTTTGTCCAAAAAAATATTATTTTCTTTTCCGAACAAAAACTTCAAAAATCCTAATTTAATTTGTTTTTGTGTTTTTAAATTTGTTTGTCCCATTTAAAATTTTTAATTAATATGTCACCCCTTTATATTTAGTTGAATCCCAATACCAAATTTATTTCTAACCTCTTTTTTTAAAAAAATCGTTAACAAGGGGTATCAAACTTAAATGAAAACTGATACTCAACATTTTTTTTTTCTTGAAATTGTTATTTTCATAAAAAGGGTTGGTAGGGTATGAAACTTAAATGAAAATTGATACTTAACATTTTTTTATATTGAAATTGTTATTTCCATAAAAAAAACCACAAAGAACAAACTAACTTAAACATTCGCAAATAATTTTTTGAAAATTTTGTATTTTTTGGGTTAATTGTGGCCTGCAATTATTTTATTTACCAAATTATTTCTTAAGATTAGCCTTTAATTTATTTACCAATTTATTGCTAAGAGTTTTTTATTTACCAATTTGGTCAATTGACCAAACACTTTGCTATAAAATTAAAAAATAGAATTTCATATTTGAAAAGCATAAATTAAAATTTGATATTTGGAAAACACAAGTTTAAATATGGTTAACAAGGAATGTGTGAATGGTTGTTACCAAAAAAAAAAAAAAAAAATTGTGAACAGTGAAAAGTTCAAAATAGTGCAATTCAAAAAACGAAGCCAATATTTTTGGAAACATATGGTCAAGGATCAAAATTGAAAAGCAAAAACTAAACGCCTAGCCAAACACTGCCGAAAGATATGTGAAGAAAACAGGTTCAACTAATCACAGGGTACATAGATGTTTACATGCTTATGTTCCTAAACTACAAGATTATCATGATCAACTATCTTCTGTCACTCCACATTGCCCGTAATAAAAGCTTAAGGTAATTTGAAAACTACCACAGGGATAAAAGGCACCTCAACTTGAATTTCGAAAAAGATGATACATGGATTGAAATAACCAACAGCCCATCAGCCATCATCAACTGATTCATTTCTTTTCAGCAACATTACTCTCAAGCTCCCTCCTAAGTTGCAGAGAGAAGTCATCGTTGACATCATCATCATCCCAATCGTCTTCCCACTGCTGTGTCACCTCCTTGCCTTCTTCCTTGCTGTCCCACTCTGCAGTAATACATAAGAACATAAGGTAATAATTATGAAAGAAAAGTGAGTATAAAATCCAAAGGTCAGATGCAAAGCTCACTCTTCTACTTGCTATAATGTCTAACTCAGCTGCAGCAGTACTAATTATCTCTAAATAACACCAATAACAAATTACCAATTCAGTGTGGCCTCAGCATCAGCATATAAACATGTACTCTAAAGATAACGGTAAAAATAATGCATGTATTACATATAAATGACGAATATTAGTGAATCCATCATTGCATTGCAAAATCAAGTTCTATCAGGTCCTAAAAGCTAAAAACCATGTAAATTAGACTCGGGCGTTTTGGTGATGGATGCACACCTAGCTTCCTGGTTTTACCTTAACTTTATAATTATCCTACATACTTATTCCCACTCACCCAATTATCGAACCATTTTGGTAATATGTATACTTTCTTAAATTTCTATACAAGGTCCATAAACTACAATGAAATTCTCGAGTGCATGATAAAATTTTGATTGGAGATTCTTAAAATCCAAAGCCATGATAAAACTTCTTCAGGATATGAGTCTGAAACAGGTCCAGTTGTGACTATTGGATCATAATCTTGGAGAACATTAACTATATACTACTCAGAAGATATGCTATGCTCTATGCTGTGATAAATAAAAGCTACTAATAATTATTTAGTGACATATTTGTTATGAAAAGTTACTTTATGAAAGACACTACCTCACATATGTTTACTGCATCCGTAAAAAAACATAGAAAGAGCTTAAGTTTTGAAGATATGAGTTGCACCATAAAGCCAATGGTATCAAGAGCTCAGTTAATGAAGCAAGGAGGAGAGATGTGCATCAACAGATGCAAGACACCACAAATTAAGTTTTAAATAAGGAAAATTTGCAAATTGCAGCCATTTAAAGTTCTTATTTTGCAAATTGCAGCCATTTAAAAAAAATTTTGCAAATTGCAGCCCAAAAGTTCGTATAAATTGTAAATTGCAGCCCGATTCAATTTTTTCATCGGTTTACATGTTGAAAAATCTTCGGTTAAGGTTTTAGGGGTCATTTTAGCCCTTAAGGGCCCGAATTGAGCTCGGAATTAGCAAAAAAAATTACGTAAGTGTCTCATATTTACAATTTCTCACAAATCGATACATTTTTGTTATGCAAAACGAAATACTTACGTTATTTTTTTTGCTAATTCTGAGCTCAATTCGGGCCCCTAAGGCCTAAAATGACCCCTAAAACCTTAATAGAAGATTTTTCAACTTGTAAACCGATGAAAAAATTGAATCGGGATGCAATTTACAATTTATACGAACTTTTGGGCTGCAATTTGCAAAGTACGAACTTTAAATGACTGCAATTTGCAAATTTTCCTTTAAATAAACAAAAAAAATAAAGGAATTGAGAAAAGAGAAAACAGAACAGTCTTATAAAAATGATGCAAAACATAAGGATGGGGGAATATTGACTCATCCAAACAGCAAAGCAAGAAAGTAAGAAAGACGAACTGAAGGGTGCGAGAAGACACACAGAATCCAAGGCCAGAGGAGGTAATTCTCTGAATCACAAGGCCAACAAATCCCGGTCTCAAGTCAAATTTGGTAATGCACCTTTAATTATAACACTTTTCTTATATTTCTTTCTCTCTTTAGGTTGACAGAAGACTACAACATAACAACCTATCCTAATGGGCTCCTTAAAAAAGGTTTTAAAAAATTTTAAAAAGATAATCTTTTTCAATGGAAGGCTGCTCAAAAAGAATTTTCTATGGCAAGGTCAGCAGGGACACATTTCTCAATTCCCAGTAGCCACAAGGTGTAAACAGCATCATCATTAATTATTGTAGAGAAAGCTCATTAATTTAACAATTAATCACTGCAACTGTCCACAGAAAATTAGGATATTATGGTAAAGAGAGAGAGAGAGAGAAAGGGCAAATGGGGCTACTATTACTTACTGTATTTTCACCCTGCAGAACTTCTAGCTACATCTTTAGATGTAAAGAGAGGTCCCCAGACGATTATATCGTAAAACTACCAGTGGTAGAAAGTCGAAACTAGCTGGAATACTAATACACTCTATAGACAACCAACACAAAACCCTTATATTCCAAATCCTTCCCAACTTAGCCCGCGATTGACAAGCACTTCTCATAGATAATGGTTTGTCGGATAGGTCTACAAGTGATCATACAATGGCTAGAGACCTAGAGTAGTGTGTCTTAGTTTCAAAACCCTCAAGTACGCTTTTAGGTTTGCATCCTATTTAAGGGATCAACATATAACCTCTCCCAAAGAAAAGAGCATGAGAGGGGATCGCCACCAACCTACCACAACATATCCAAGGCCGTTTGGTGTGGAAATAGCTAATATACTATGTGGTATACTCTCCTTATACAAGCTGGAGAAATCCCAACTCTTAATTTTGCCAATTTGAACCTGCAATTGTCAAGTCTAATGCTTCCCCATTTGATCTGAAATATTCAATTAACTTGCACTCTATGTTACATTGACACGGGTACGGGTACCCTATATTGGTACAGATCCAAGTGTCCGATTCGTCATTCTCAAAAATTTAGGACACGGAGACTCCGTCTTAACTTTGGACTCGGGTACGGATACGACAATAAAAGAAAAAAAATAGGATAATTGTAGCAAGTCCCCATAAAAAAAATTAGCAAATTTTTTTAAAATTAGACTTTATAATGTACTCTGTACAGTACTACTACTTTTTTTTTAACGAAAAGTAGTAATACTACTTGTCAACTACCTATGTACCTTATATAATAGTCTAATACTGCCAAAACTCTTATTGATACTTCCAAGTTTTAAAAGCATATGTTGAAATTTCTCTAAAAAAAGAAAGTGGAATGTGGGTCCAATAAAAGACTTCACCATTCATTTTTTATTTCTCTCTCCTCTCTCCTATGTTGAGTGTTACTATTCACCATTTTGGACGCTCCAAGCTCCACCTTCAACCTCTTCCCTGCTATTTTTGAAGCTCCATGACAACTATGCCATACCCGAGAGCCAAACGGAGTGTTCATAACGGATTTCATACCCGCGTCCGTGTCGTACGACCCGGGTATGAGGCCAAAAATGGCGTGTCCCAGTAACATAGCTTGCAGTACTCTAGAAAATTGGTCAATCAAACATGTCTAGAATAGAGTTTCTAAACTCTTATTCCTCGATGCTTCTTCGAAGTTGCACCTAGTTTGGACTGGATCAGGCAAAATGATCGTCTATTTGGATAACTTAGAAGAATCGAATCCTAGATAACTCACTATTACTAACTAATACGACAAGCCATAATCCACAAATTAAGGCCATTAGTTTCTCAATCAGATCATTACACAAACTATGTCTGTATAAGTACATGTCACATGTGTATAAGGTATTAAGTTCTACAAATTACGCTTTCATTTTCCTACTCAGCGCAACCATCTTCTTCCAAACTAGAAGGAAATCCTCATATCTTTTGGACAACTTCTCTCCTTTCAATCAACTATCAGCCAAATCATCTTTATAACTTCTTTTTAAACAATAAAGCAGCTTAAGATTCTAGATGCATAGGCCAAATAATCAATAGAAAAAACGATGCATCCGTCCTCCAATAACAACGGGAATGGAGTTTGTGATCAATCTAAACAAGGTGATCACCACTCTTTAAATTTCCAAGGTATCAAACTAGTTGAATCATACATAATAAAGGGTGTTACACAATTCAAACTCAATGCAATGTTTTAAAAATTACAATAATTAGCGAAATAGAGGGTATTAACAATATTGTACTTGGAACAAATTGAGCATCTGGAATCGAGTAATTTTAAGTTAAAATTTGAACATTTCAATTATGAATGGGCAGAGTCAACAGAGATTTCCCATCTAATTGAAATTAAGAAACATGCATATACTGAGTCAGGATCAAAGAAACAGCCATAAACCCTAAAATCCAACAACTTAGAAAAATCAACATAAATCAAAACCTAGTAAATTAATAATTGGCTAAATTGTATCAAAAAAATCCACAATCCAATAGCATCAAAAAATAGCAAAAATGTAATTTTAAAATTTAAAAATAAAAAATTAAAGAAGACAATTGTTTCGAAATTATTACCGAGATCGATTTCGAACTCCTCGAATTCATCATCATCTTCAAACAGATCCATCTTAGCTTCTTCAGTAGCTGGTTTAGCCTCGTTAGTCGCCATTACCTAAAATATTCAATTACAATTACACTGTATGAAACCCTAATTTTACGAAAACTGGGATCAATATTCAATCAATAAGAGAAATTGAGGATGAAAAAGAAATTAAGCGGCTAAATTACTTACCAGAAACAAATTAGGGATGAGGTGAAGATTTGGGGACAGTAGAGAGAAAATATTAGTAGAGTATGAAGTAGAGACGCAAAATGTTGTTTAATTTCCACAGGGAACTAGAAACAAGTGCTTGACGATAGACCGAGAGGGGAATAATAGGAACTTGGAAAACAAGAAACTCCTAGTCTTTTGTACTCCCTCCGTTTTTAAATAGTTGCTCCGTTTCTCCATGCACCGAGTTTTAGAAGAAACTAGCATAGCGCCCGTGTGATGCACGGTTTATAAATCAAATTATTAAACCCGTAGGAAAAATAAAATAAAAACAAAGGTAATTCATTTGGTTACTAATGGTCAATAAAAAAAATATTAAAGGAACGTTATTTGAATAGTATTTTATGTTATTTGAATTTCTTTTAATTTTTTATAATGTTATTTTATTAATTGAAAAATAATTGAATAATACTCCACATAGCTATATAAGAAGTTGACTAATTTATTTATATCTCCTGTTGAGAAAAAAACTAAAATTTTCTTATCATACCATCCGCATCAGTAGCTACAATCAATCTAATATATACATGTTTTATTTATCCGTCGCACTCATTGAATCTATAGACACAATAATAACCTTATATTTGACCTACCAGAACATATATTTTCCTAAGTTAACCATTGTGCCAAAAACTATATATTATATAATAGTCACATATATAATCAACAGCTGATTAAATATAGTATACAACACAAATACTTCGTATATAGGTTGGATACTGATAATTTATATAAATAAAATATACGGAGCATATATTACTAAGATTTATCCCTACCTTAATTATAAAAAGGTTAACCAAACTCTTATAATAGTGCATGGACATTTATATATCTAAAAATGTTCTTTTTACATATATTTTCCCCCATTTAATTTTAAAAGCCTTAAAATTGTCTCTTGAATATAATTCGCTAAATTGATTTAAAAGGTTATGTTTATTTCAATATTTAAAGCCATTTACTATTTTCATTTCCTTTTGTTTTAATTTTTCTATTTAGAATTTATTAGACTATTAGGTTTCAAGATCACCTTAATTATAAAAAGGTTAACAAAACTCTTATAATAGTGCATGGACATTTATATATCTAAAAATGTTCTTTTTACATATATTTTCCCCCATTTAATTTTAAAAGCCTTAAAATTGTCTCTTGAATATAATTCGCTAAATTGATTTAAAAGGTTATGTTTATTTCAATATTTAAAGACATTTACTATTTTCATTTCCTTTTGTTTTAATTTTTCTATTTAGAATTTATTAGACTATTAGGTTTCAAGATCGAAGTCAATATCTTTTTACCGTACAATCACTAAATCAAAGTCGCTCAACTAAAGTTTTGGACATTGCACAGCTACACAACATCCAACATATTTAATGATTACATGCAAATAATTTTAATAACACTACGCATTCGATATAAGTTATTAAAAAATTTAACTATATATACATTTTGATAGGTTTATATCTTTCATATTAACAAAAATTTACAAATGTTATTAATATATTTTGAAAAAAAAATAGACTTTGGAGTTTTGTATAAGATAGATAAAGGATAAGTTAATTCCCGTCATATAAGCATTGAGTTTTGGGTATTCTATCCGGTTCACCCTTTGGGCTAATCCAGATTTGAGGATCAATTCTAGGTTATTAGGTTCCATTCCCCTTCCGATTGTTGTTGCAGGGGAGCGAACACAGGTCCTCCCTACCCAGTGTAGTCTCAGTCACCACTACACCAACAACCAATTGGTGTAGTGGTGATTGAGACTACACTTGTTATGGAGGACACGTGTTATAAAATATTATATTATATACATATACTTTTTTATATTATAAAAATATTATATTATATTATATACGCATACTATTATAGTTAAAAGTATTATTATGTATAAAACAACATGAATTATTGCACATGATTGTAGTATCTAGTATAGTACATGAGCAATGCACGATTTTTAAATTAAAATGTTAGTTTTTTAAAAAAAAAAAAATCATAAGTAATAGCATTGTTATTACGAATATTACAATTTAAAACACGAGTAATAGTTACAATACATTTTATATCTATCCCTTTTCCGTCAAATGTATAATTCAATTTAACTTTTATTCTTCTTGTTTAGATTGGTTAATGGTTCAGTTTTTTTTTTCTTTTTTTTTTATGTAAGAAAAACAAAAGGTCATTGTAGTAGACATTATATAGAAAATGAAAGGCGGATTAAAATTAAATTTATGTTCAAGATTATGTATTTTTTTTCTAAGACAATATTTCGGCTAAGCATTCAGTATTTGTCAAGGAGTACAACAAACGATAAAAGTAATTTTTACACTATTTTGTATCTTTATCAAAAACTTTTGTATTCATCCGATTACTTGAATTGAATTTAGGATAACTTCTAGACTATTTTAGGTAACTTTTATCAATAAAGCATAAATAACTTTCATTCATTATAGGGTAGCTTTTATAATAGGTGCACAATATTTATTGTACATCTGATTTTTTTTAAATGTTTGATTGATTTCATAATTGACATCAAACTAAATTCTATCGATTTTATTTAATTTTCATAAAAAAAATATTAGCCTTTCAAAATACGAAATAGTTGTTTCCTTAATTATGCCACTTTAATCATATTGCTTCAAATTAGTTATTATTCTTTAACTTGACTATAAATAAAGATTGGAAAGACTTTATGGATTATTTGTAGTATTGGAAAGTATATATTTATTATAAAAAAAAATTAAATCAATATTTACGTTAGGAAATCATGAAAATCTTATGCATGTATAGAAACTTGCTTTTATTGTTTGAAGTTTAACAAAAATAACTATGCTTGAATATGTAAACAGTAATTATATAGATATATTTTATACATAAGATAAGCCAATGAGAGAGTGACATTTGTCATCCTCACATTGAGGCGCTTGTCTTTTAGTATAGTATATAGATAGATTGGAGAAAATAATAAAATATGGAGGTAGTGGGGTTGGTGGAAGAATAAAAAATTATAAAATAAATCAAAAGTAGTGGAGAGAATTGAAGGAGAGAGAATATGGAATTAATATTGTTTGGTCCATTTGGTGAGAGAAATTAATTAAATATTGTAAAAACTTTCCAAATAAGGAAATGGAGCAAGTATTTAAAAACGGCTGGAAAAGAAAAGTGTAGCAAGTATTTAAAAACGGAGGGAGTAATCGCTATACTTTCCTTTTACCTTCTCGTTATGTATTGTATACTTCCTCTGTTTGGCATTAGTTGTAACAGTAAATTCATAGTTAAGAGATATAATAATAATAATAATAATAATAATAATAATAATAATAATAATAATAATAATAATAATAATAATAATAATAATAATAATAATATTAAAAAAAACAACAGTGTCGTGGGATTGATAGGAAAAAGAAATCTAATATCAAATCACATCAAGTCATGTCGCATCATATCACTAATATATAAAGCGGGTCTCGCAGCCATATTACGAGATAGTGTCACTTGACATTCCAGTATTTCGCCAAGTGTCGTGTCACGCAGGCGAAAATGGGTATTATTGTGACACATATGATGTTAAGTAAGCGAATTTTGGATAATTTTTTTAAGATAAATTGTTGTACAGTGTTTTATTATCGATAGAATTCTAATAATTCATACAAAATTAATTATAACTTTTAATAAATATCTTATAACTTAGTATGTACTATTTCCAACATCAAATTCGTTTCAAAGATCCATTTAAAGTATACTAGATGAAGCCCGTGCGATGCACAGTTTGTTAGTAATTTTTTTAAAAAATATTTTTGATATGTCCATTTTATATAGTAATTTACCCCCGTCCCTTGGTCATAATTAGTAGTGTTTTTGGCTCTTTCGAGCCACTTTTATTACTAATTTGTGTTTTCTAGTGTTTTCGTAATTTTAGTTGTATTTTACAGGAAATTGCACTTTTGGAGCATTTTCCTGGGTTTTATGGATCAACTACGGAAGCTAGAAGGACACGGACACTTTTGAAGCCCAGGATCGGTGAGAGCCGATGATTAAGGGCTCGGTATGAGATACCGAGGCTATTGGACCGTTTAATCAAGACCCGATGAGGAAACTTAGATTGGGCCGAGGAATTGAGCCCAATCGAAATCCGAGCCTTGAAGAAGAAGATCGGGCCCGATCGGGCAGGCATACGCCCGATCGGGCGGCTGCGCGCATAAGGATCCTCAAGGAAGAGGCGCGCCCGATCGGGTGAGCATAAGCTCCATCGGGCGCGACACACCAGCAGCGGGCAAAGCAAAAAAGGCGCGCCCGATCAGGCGCGTGTTTTTCTCAGAGCTGATTAGATTAGTTTTAATTTTTGTTTGATGAATGTTTAAGAACAAATTATGTACGTAATTTTGGGTTTACCTTCTTTTTTAGACTTTCTCTCTCTACTTAGGATATTTTCTCTCTCCTAAATTTTCTCTCAACTTTTGTTCTTAATTACTTCCATTAATCCAGATTTCTTTTGGTAACAATTTCTTCTCTTTTAATTTCAGCTATTTTACTTACTTCTTTGATTATGCTTTGCTTTGCTTTATTTGATTAGTTTAGTTATGATGATGCTTGAGTAGTTTTATTTCTAGGGTTTATGGGGATCTAATAAATGATATGAAGGGGTAATTTTGTGATTGTTAATTATCAATGCTTGGTTAATTTCCTATTGATTGATTTAATGCTATGCAATTAGGTTTGGCCAGATTTAATTGTATGAGTTTAGCAATATTAATTCGAGATTCGACAGATGAGAATTGATGTTTAGGCTTAGTTTCAATAGGCAGACTAATTTATAAATGGTTAAGTCGAGATTCGACAGATGAGATTTAATATCGGTAAATTAACTCTGTGATTATAATACGTAGCGAAAGCCCTTTATAATCTGATTAACCAATGCTTGATAATTGCTTATTATGATTTGCCCTGAAATATTGTTTATTAGTGAACCTATACCCTAAGTCTTTTAATATTTGATTTTCCCCTACTTTAATTCTTTCGACCTTATTCTCCGTAGTGTAGAATTTATTCACAATAATATTGGTTACTTAGATGATTTAGATTATAATAATTAATTAGGAATAGAAAGACTTGTTTCCCT